TTGCAACGGATTCATCCGCGTCCTAGCCCCGCCCAACGCACCCACCCACCCACCCACCCACCCACACACCCACACACACACACACACACACGCACACTTCTTGGCGGTCGCGGCCTCGCGCGCAGCGACAAGGACGACGGGCACGAGCAGAAACAGAGATCGAATGGAACTACTCCAGCAGAATGACCGCGATCGCGTGCACGCGCAATTCTGGACAGCACAGCATGAGCACACTCAACAGTTGCGCACGGAAGTAACAATTCATGCGCATAGAAGCGCACACGGATATGGGACAGGCGATGACGCAAGTAGTGCGAACGATAAAAGAGTGGGTGTTGTCTGCGTCCTTGGCAGACGCATCTGCTTCTTCCTCGCGCCCAGAGGGGAGAAAGGCTGGATGGGGATGCGGACGGAAAGCATGAAGAAGAGCGAAGGAGAGGGAAGAAAAGCAGCTAATTATGCTGGGCACTCGTACTGTGTGGCCATCCGCATCCTTCTTCCATTTGAACTCTGTTCCGCTCTGCGTCCTCTTCAAATTGCCTCTCCGACTCTCCTCCCCCTGTCTTCTCCCAAATTCACTTGGGTACTGCCAACCCGTGTAAAAAGGATGCGCGATAAGGATGCGAGGGCCTTGAAAGCCATGCCGACACTTTGCGGGCGGGGCGCGGCCAGCGGAAGCGGCCAAGGATGGGCTGAACGGGGCAGGATGCAGGGGTACCCTTGGAAAGTCGATCCTCCTTACTGTGCGAGTCGACTATATCTCTCCTCTCCCAGTGTCTCGGACTGTCCATCCGAAGCTCACCCCTCGTTCTTAGCCTGGGCTCTCTTCCTCTCCCCTCTTCTGCTGCTCGCCCTCCCTCAAGAGAACCCGACCAACACACGACACCATCCTACACGCTCAGGCCCCCCCCTCGGGCACCTGTTCTGGGCAGAAAGATCTGCGACCACGCCCACCGCCCAAAAGAAACATTCGAACGCGAGGCGGCCAAATGCTCCGCACGAGGAACATGACACGTGGATCACCCACATACCCCCAGGGGTTGTGGGAGTATGCGACGTCGGCCTCCGCACTTCAGAAACACCGCCGCGTGCTCAAAGGGCTGGAGCCCGATTCTCAAACAGAGGGCGGTGCCGAGTCCCCACCGCCATATGTAACTGGCCAGCTCTGGAAACCCGGAACCCCAAAATGCTGCCGTCTCTTGGGAGCCCATGTTTTACAGTAGGCGCTCGACCACAAGGAGCCTTCCACAAGAAACCCAACCCTGAGACCCCAGGGCGTCCACTGATGTTTGGTGTGGGAACGTCACGCTTTCCATAGCAAAACCATCGAAACCCAAGAATCCCCAGGGGCACCCTGGAGGCAAGCAGGGTGTCTCTTGGCATGGGCCTCCACTGTACCGACACCGCTGCTCCCTGGACCTGGCCCCGGGGCGCGCCCTGACCAGAATTCAACGAGGAATGCAGACGTGGTGGCGAGGGCCCTCCAGGACGAGCAGCTTCCCGACGACCTACCAGACCACCCAACCCCACCCGAGGGCCCGAACTTCGGGGCGTTGCGTGGGGGGGGTGCGGGCCTCACATGTGGTCTGTCAATGCTCCTCGCCCCGCCCCCCCCTGGGAATGGAGGGCACATTGGGGCCTCGGGGTGGGTGTGGGGTGGTTTGGGTGGGTGACGATTTCCTCCCCTGCTCACCTGGAGCAGCCAGCCGCGGCGGCGCCGCGACGAGGGGCCCCTGGGACCCCCAAGGGGAGAGCAGCGAAGCCGCAGGCGGCGACGGGCAGCGCGGCGACCGCCCTGCGCCGCGCCGCCCGCAGCGTGTGGCGGGGCACCCCCTCCGCTCAGCGCGTGCTCGGGCCGTGCGTGGCCACGTGCCGAAGCCCGCTGCGCTGTGAGACGAAGCCGGGACGAGGCTAAACATAATCGAGCGAGGAGAAGTCGAAAACCTCTGAGATGTCTCGGGCGCCGCGGCCTTCTCAGAGCGTTCCCGGAACGCTCCGAGGGCGTTCCGGAACGCCCTGGAACGGAATCATCCTCGTCCCAACCCTTGCCGACGCTGCCCCATCTCACCGCATCTGGCCTGCCCAACCCTGCTTCTATCATGGCCTCCTCCTGAGCTAATGTTAGAAACGCTCGGGACCGTTCTATTATTTTATGTGTTATATAAAAACGTACTGAACATATCGGAATCCGGCCAACCAACACGGAACCTGGCCATCGCTCGGACGTCCATTCCTGTGTTCTTTTCGGTTTCGTGCGTGGTTTTTTCGCCGAATGATCAAGGATGCTCCTCGATGGCCCTCGCCGAGAAAAATGCACACGTCCGAGCGATGCCAGGGGAACAAAAAAACACCGGCAACCCAACACGGAACAAACAGCAGCACGTACAGCGCTGAACCGAACCGAACACGGCGCGAAGGAGACTCCCGGAACGAACAGAAGCTCGCCCCAAGGCTGTCAACAACAAAACGCCCCCCCGCCCCCCTCTCTCGAGGGGCATCGATACGGGGGTGGGACCGGCATAGGGGTGAAGAGGAGGAGGAGGAGGAGGAGGAGGAAGACGCTCAAAACGCTGCCCACGCGAGATGGCATAGCGACCCCACGCCGCGGCTTACGCGCACCGCCAGCACGGCACGCCACTGTGGAGACGTGGGCGCTTCCGCGCGACCTTACGCGGGCAGCTTGCGCGCTGATGTCGGCGCAGACGACCCCGTCTATCGGCGCCGCTCGCCTGGCATCGGCGACACCTCGCCGATGGCTCGGCGATGGCCCCCCGACAGCGGACGCGCACGCTCACGGGCGGGGTGGGGCCACCGGGCCCCTGTCGGCGGTGAGTGGGCGATCGGGGGTCGATGCACCTCCCCTCCATATGCCTGCAGCCGAGCCGCTGCACAAGGAGCGGCAGATCGGGAACGGAGCCCCCCTTTGGCCCCAGACGCGCAAGCGTGCACGAGGAGGGCTGGGGAGGAGCGACCACAGGATCACCAAGGGAGCATCGGGCCCCTTTCGCGCCCAAGCTGCTCCTTATTTCAGCGTCTTGACTGTTGTTTGTGTTTTGTTTTCAGCGTCCTGACTGTATCGCTGCCCCTGACATCCCTCCCTGACCTCTGTCCAACGCCTGCCTACCCTCGCCCCCCCTCCGCTCCCACGGGGCTCGGTGGCTTCCGAGCGCCATGCTGTCAGGCAGCCCCCTGGCAAGACGGCCCAGCACAGATCCGAGACGAAGAGATTCGCGCGGACCTTCGACCCCTGAGGTCCGTGTAGTGATTTCCTAGGATCGTCAAGACGCAACAGTCAGGTTGATCTGTGGCGTTGAAATCCCGAGAGCAATGTTTCGGCATGTTTCCGGGTCTTCTAACGGCTGTCTTCCAACGAGGCAGGTCCCTCAATAGAAATGAACCGTTGTAGGGGCCTACGAGGAGGGAGTTTGGAGGGAGGGTGTACTCCAACAGCGTTGATGTCTCTTGGGTTTACACTGGTCCTGCTCCTCCTCCTCATCCTCCTGCTCCTCCTTCTCCTGCTCCTCCTGCTCCTCCTGCTCCTCCTCCTCCTCCTCCTCCTCCTCCTCCTCCTCCTCCTCCTCCTCCTCCTCGTGCGACCCACCTGCCCGCCGCCTTGCCCCGCCCGCGCGCCTGGGCGAACTCTCCTGGTATCTACCGACCCGGGCCAGACAGGCCGTGCAGGATCCTGCAGGGCCCTGCAGGGTCCTGCGCGCAGGCCTGGGGCCGTGCAGCCCTGGCCCCGCAGGATCCTGCAGGATCCGGCGCTCCAGCTGACCCCCGTTTGTAACGACCCCCGTCGCAAGGCTCCCGAACTTTCACGGGGGAGACCAAGCGGGACCGATACCGCTGCTCCCCAGACCTCTCTCGGGGTGCGTTCCGGCCAGAGTTGCGAGGCGAATCCAGCGGTGGCGACGAGAACTTCCGAGGAGGCCTCACAAAAAAGGGGAATGTGGGGATGGGGCAGAGGTGTGGGTGCCTGCTCCTCCTCCTCCAAATCTCACGGCTCCGGACCTTTTGCAGGGGGCGGGCGGGTGGAGGCACTCGCGAGGCGGGCGCACGGGCGCACCCCGCCGCGGCGGCGCAGGGCGGCGCACGCTCCGGCGCACGAGGCGCCTCCCTCCCCCCCCGCGCGCAGAGGGGGCGGCCGAGCAGGACCGCCGCCCGCCGCCTGCTGGGAAGGAGTGGCAGGCGGAGGGCCCCTGGCCCTCGGGGAGGGGGCCAACGCGAGGGGGGCCGGCAGCAGCAGGGATGCAGCAGGGCCGGGGCGTCCACTGGTGCTCGGTGCGGGAGCGCCGTGCTTCCCATGGCAAAGGCACCCAAACCGAAGAAACCCAGGGCCCCCTGGAGGCGAGCGAGCAGGGTGTTTCTTGGCAAAGGGCCGCTACTGCAGGGCGTCTGCTCTGCAGACGCGCGTAGAGCCACGATCCCTGGTGCACAGACGGGGGGCCAAGTGAGGCCGCGTCTGCAAGATGCTCCTCCTCCTCCTCCTCCTCCTCCTCCTCCTCCTCCTCCTCCTGTGTGTGAGCACTTTGTTACCAGACAACCGGTGCGCCGTCAGAGACGGCGGCGAGCCTGCGGAGGGCTCGCGAGATGAGCGATCTTCCCAATACTACATTGCTGCTTTCTGCTCCTGGTCTGATCTTCCTCAGCCTTCTATCCCACCTCCACCTCCAGACTTCCTACTCTTACTACGATGCTTTTCCACCTCCTCGACCTCCTCACCCTCCTTAGCTTTCTGTCACCTTCTTCTCTTCCTCGCCTTTGTGGCCACCTCCTCAGCCACCTCACTGTCCCCTTCCTCTTCCTCCTCAATCTTTCCTTTCTCCTCCTCAGCGAGGGCGGTTCTCGTCCTCCTGGGCCTCTTTGCCTGCTCTCCCTCGGCGTCCGTGCGGCGATGTCTCTGATGCAGGATGCATTGCCAGACGCTGGCCATGTAGTGGATCCGCTGTTTGAACTCCTCCAACCTCCCTCTTGCTGCGGAGCAGCCTGGTTGGCCAGACCGGCCCCTCCGGGTTCGGCGGGATCGCCACGAACCTCCTCCAGCGCGCAAACCTCGGGCATCTCCAGAAGGTGTGCGCTGCATCGTCGTCCTCGTCCAAGTCGCATCCGAAGCACTTGGGTATCGGAAGCCCCTTGATCTTAGCCGGTCTCGCATTGCTGAAGAACGCGCCCGTGAGGATCGCGATCTCGTGGTCTGACGCTCCAGCGCCGCACGGGTAGCCCGTGGGCAATAGGGCGCCTGCGCGTGCCGTCCGGCAGCGCTGTCCCGCCGCGTGCGGCTGCCCGGGAATGTTGCCCACAGCCTCTTTCGCCATACCTCACGAATGAGGTGGTCCCTGGCGTCTTTGGGGCTGGTCAGGGAGATCTCGGCCCCATCTGCCTCTGGAGGCGCTTTCCAGATCACATGGTCCTGGTCGTCCAACATCATTAGAAATCCTAGCTTTCCCATCGCCGCATCCACGGCCTGCATGACCCCGGTGGCCCTTTTGTCCTTCATCCAGAACTGCTTGAAAGCGTCCTCGACGTACGCGGCTCCGCGTCGCCGGATTCTCGCGTCCATCAGCGTCCAGATTCTGTCCAGCAAGCGCAGCGTAAAGTCGGCAGTGTGGCCAACCAGGAGGAGCTGCTGCAGCGGCCTGGCCCCGGATCGCCACTGGTCACCTCTCACGGCCCTCGACAACATAGTGTCCAATCCTTGTCTCTGCTTCTGGGTCGGGCTCCTGAGGACCAAGGGCCACGTGACCGCTGCGAGCACACATGCCCCCGCCAGTTGTCGGCGCTGGTGCGGCTGAAGCGGCAACCTGATGATCCTTTTCGCCTTCCTCGTGCATTCGTCAATCTTTGTCTGCTCGCGCACTGTCAGCCCTGCACTGGCGCCGATCAAGATCTCCAAACCAAGCAGCCTCACTTGGTCTATCCTGCGCCCAAGCGGGGGATGTCCTCCTCCTCCTCCTCCTCCTCCTCCTCCTCGGCCTCCTCCTCCTCCTCCTCCTCCTCCTCCTCCTGTGAGCGTGACGTAATCTCCTATCCTCGATGACTCACGGCAGGCCGCCCGTGGACGGCGCACATGGGGCGCCTGACGTCGCGCTTCGCGCGCGCGCGAGGCGCGAGGCGCGAGACGCGACAGCTGCGCGCCCTCGCGCCGCCCACCCCAGGGGGAGAGGAGGAGGAGGCAGCGGAGCCGAACCGCGGCGCGAGGATGACTTCGCGGCCCCCCGAGGGCGCCCCTGGCGCGAGGCCGACGGGGCGAGGGCACGGAGCCGCCAATTAGGCCCGGGGGCCTCTCCGCCGGCAGATCCTGCTCTTGGCCGAACCGCTGTGGCGGCGACGCGGGGGAAGAAGCGCCGTGCCCGGGGTGCAGCAGACGCGGGCAAAGAACGAGCATCGGTCTGCGGTTGACCGATCCCGCTCCTCAGGGAGCTCGACGACGACGACGACGACGACGACGACGACGACGACGACGACGACGACGACGACGGCGGCGGCGGCGGCGGCGGCGGCGGCGGCGGCGACGGGCGCTGCTCCTCCGAACCAGCTGAGAGAACGGTAATCGGCCTTTGGGGGGCCACCTTGTCGCCTCGGCTGGACGAAGCCCGGAGACCTGGTGCGTCTGGATCCCCGGAGGGATCTGGGCACCGTGCGCTGTGGCTGTGTCAGCTCGCCTTCCCCAGACGATCCCCACTGGCAGGGCCTTGGCCCCGCTGGCCGACCACCCCCCCGACGTGCTGAGCTGTGCTGCTCCGTTCGGGCATCCCGGGGCCCGTTCTCACCTGGGGGCGCGGGCTGGTGAGGCTGCGGTGCAATGGCCCAGTGGGGAAGGGGACCAGTTTGGCGATGCTGCGAAAGAGAGAGAGAGAGAGAGAGAGATATATATATATATATATATATATTAAAAAAGAAAATAAAAAAAAAGGCGCGCCGTGGACAGATGGCCAGTCCCAGCAACCCTGAGTCAAACAAACTGTCCGACATCTCTCAGGGGCGCATCTTTTACTTCCGCAGACTTCTGCCGGCGGCCGGCCCCCCGCCGGCCTTCCGCCGGCCTTCCGCCCAGGAATCGAGGGCAACCTCTTGATCCCTCGAGGGCGCCGGTAGTGCTGGACGCCCCAGATGGGGACCCTTCCTCCTCCCAGGCGTCCTTGGCCTTCACGGAGAGGGTGACCTTGGCGGGGATGGCCTTCGGGTTGGAGAGCCTCAGGCGCTCCTGGAGAGTCGCAGCGCCCGCGGGCGCCGCGCGGATGGGAGGGGTTCCCCTCGCACTTCCCCCGCCATCAAAGCGCCCTCCTCTCGTGTCTCTCGAGACAGCTGGCACGCACTCGTCAAACGGCAATTTCGCGCTCCTCGCCCGCCTCAGCCCCCGTGGCCACACAGACCCGCAAGTCGTTCCTTCGGTCTGGCTCCAGGTGCAAAGCTGGACGCCGAACAGTGGCAGTCACTCACAGGCAGACGCGCACACGTCAGAAGCCCACAGTGTCAGGAGATCAAGCAGATTGGCTCTCGGGCTTGCACGCAAAAAAGGAGCAATGTCTCAAAAGAAGCGGTGTCGCTCCACAACGCCGTTCTCTTCATTGTCTGCAGCCTGCGGCGGGAACAAGCATAATCACTATTCGATTGCAACCTCACCACACATTTTTCTGCATCTATGTTCTTTCAACCGTCTCGCTCCGTCTGCGCCCTTCCCTTTTCTATGGATTGTTTTTTTGTGTTGTTCTCTGTCTCTCTCCCTCTCTTTTTTTTTCTCTCTCTCTCTCTCTCTGGTTTCTATGCCTTGTCTGCGTGGCTGCTGTGCGTGTGACCTCGCTCCCACGTGTCTCGGACCTGATCTCCTTACAAGATCTGCCACCATGCCTCCTGACACGTTGAGGCGCGATAGACTGCCAAGCGCTTTCTGGTTCTGAAGCTTACGGGGGTTTTCTGCGGCCCCGCCTCGCGTACATTCCTCCCCTCTCCCGAGGGTTTCTGAACTCCCAGATGCCTCCCTGGGGCTCTCCACGTCGCGCGGGAAGGTCACCAAGGCCGCAGAAATAGCTCAACATTGCCTCAACACGCAACGAAGAACACACAAGAACCGCCAATTACGTCGCAGCATGCCTCAAGGAAGCCCCAAGACACACCCAACACACTCTCCGCAAGGCCATCGAGAGGCCAAAAACGCTGAACCGCTCAGGGGCTGTAAATTGCTTCCTCAAAAAATTGCATCTTGCGCACCACGTGCTGGGAATGTTTGGAGGCATATTTGCCCAGTGCCCGCGCGGTGCCCGCTCGTTGGCGCCTCTACTACGACTGCTACGACGACTATGACGACGACTACAAATACTGCTACTACGACTACTACTATTACTACTACTACTACTACTACTACTACTACTACTACTACTACTACCACTACTACTACTACTACTACACCGACTACTACTACTACTACTACTACTACTATTACTACTACTACTAATACGACTTCTACTTCTAGTTATACTGCTGCTACTACTACTACTACTGCTGCTGCCACTACTACTACTACTACGACGACTACTACTACTACTACTACTACGACTTCTACTACTACTACTACTACTACTACTACTACTGCTGCTACTACTACTACTACTACTACGACTACTACTACTACGACTACTACGGCTACTACTAC